CCTGTGAAAGGTCCTTTCTGAAGCCCGGGGCGCTGATGCCTTCGCGTTAGATTGACGCCCACCAGCTGTGAGTAAAAACACCTGCAGGAGGCCTGGGCTGCCACCTGCGTCGCCAGCCCCACTCCCACTCCTGCCCTGCCTCCACCCACCCAAAGGAACCTCCTCATCTGAGCCCCATGTGAGTCTCACCCCTCCCCGCGTGTCTAGACAGAGCCAGCTCCATCGTGTTTGGATGTGACCCAGCTCACCAGGGACAGTCACTGACAGTGGGACAAAAGAGGAGCAAAGAAAGAGACAGTCCCATGGGCCTCCTGGGGCTCTTGCCGCTTTAGCCCTCAGTTGCAGAGACCGTTTCCTGGGGGCCTCGCTCTCAGGGCAGCGCTGTGGGGGTCATGTAGTCCTCTGAGGGAGGGAGCTGCTGGGTCACCCACATCCTCAGCCTGAGTCCTCAGGGCTCGGGGTCCACCCTGCCGTGGCCCAATGCGGAGTTCAAATCATGCCGCGTCCCTCTGGAAGGCAGAGGGCGCCACTTGAGGCAAGACCTGGACATGCTCAAGCAAGCTGGAAAACTTCACATACAGCAGGCAGGGCAGGGCACAACTGTCACCCCGGCACCGTGGGAAGCTGAGGCAGGGAGATCGCGAGCTCAAACCCAGCCGGGGCAGTTTACAAACTTAGTGAGACTGTCTCCAAGTAATAGGAAGGTCTGGGGATGTCGCTCAGTGCAAAAGCCCTGGGTTCAAGCCCACTACTGCCAACAAATAAAACAAAACCTTTAAATGCGAATATTCTGGTTGCAGTTAGCAAGGTGGCCTCTAAAAATTATCCCTTTTAAGAACCCCCTGTCCAAGTTCCCCATGTAGGAGACATTAAAGCGCAGGGATCCTATGTCTGTCTGACCTGCATAAGAAATCATTTCATTCCTTTGCTGGAAATCGAGGGCACGGAGGAATCCCGGCGGGAAGTGGCCCTGGGAGCCCTTGTCTAAGGCGCAGGGAGTGGAGCCACCACGCCATACCTGCTGTAGCACATAAAAACCCTGCCGTTAGAACTTTCCAGAATCACGAATTCAGTCTTTCAAATTTCAGGCCCAATTTCGGAGTCGGCTCTGTAGGTAACCCCGGAGCCCAGTCCCGGCTCGCAGGCGCTCTCTCGCATCAGGTGCACGGGACGAAGCTGAACGGCGCTGGCGATGGGTGCCAGAGCGCGCGGAGCTCTAGCGGGTTCAGCAGCACGTCGAGTCACCCCGTGTGACACTGTGGCACAGACAGCAAAGCGGACGGCTGTGGCGTGGCCGCAGCAGCCAGCAGGGCACCTTCCTGAGAGGAGAGGCTGGGGGCGCTCTTCTGGGTCCTGTGCCTCGGGAGGAGAGGGTGGCATTTAGCCACCCCAGGTCGGGCTTGCAGGGAAGACCAGGCGCACAGGGGACGCGCAGGGGAGAGCTTCCAGGGCGGTCTGTCCCAGGCTCTGCCCCTGCCTCATGGATCATGCCCGCCTCTGGTCGTTATCACTCAGGCTGCGCGTGCCTCAGTCCCCCCTTCCATTGGGGTGCTGGGATGCGCCCTGGGCCACCTTATGTGACCCCTCACTACATGGGGACCGCACAAGCCAACTCCTTTTCCTTCTGCCCCCGGGAGCCTCATCTGCCCACCCCACAGGCACTCTCGCCATGGAGCGCACAGCGTCGACAGGGAACAGTTCAGCGACGACAGAGGGAACGAACTCACCTTCCTTGGGGCTGATCGCCAGCGTGGACCCCACCAAGGGAAGCAGGGCCGGCTCAGGCCCCACGCGCCCATGGGACCGCCGGCTCCGTGCCCAGATCACGGCTGGCCGTGGGCAGATGAGAGCAGGGGGAGATGTCGCGTACGCTCCCTCCTGATCTCGCAGGAACTGGGCGCCCCAACTCCTGGGGCACGCAGGACGCTCCCCCGCCCTAGTATCTTGGGACAATGAGCCAATCACAATCCCCCCAGCCAGCCCCTGCCCCAGGAGCTCTTGGGGTCCCCTCCCAGCGTGCTTCACAACTGTTCCCTAGAAGACAAACCCGTCCTAAAAGTGTGGATTTGCAGGCACAATGTGTGAGCCCCTGGGAAGCGTAGCAGCAGCTCCACCGAGCGGACATGGTCCTGTGGCTGACTAGTAGAGGCGTGCCCTGCTGGGAAGGGACAGCAGGACATTTTCAAGATAGACAAAGTCCAGGGTTTTTTTTTTTTTTTTTTTTTTGCGGAACCAGGGATTGAACTCAGGCCCTTGCACTTGCCAGGAAAGCGCTTACTCTACTGAGCCATCTCCCCCGCCACAAAGTCCAGTTTTGCGCTGCATCTAGCATAAAACTGGGAACTCGCACTGTGCATCCTGCGCAGCGAGGTCTTGGCACGAAAAGAAAATGGGTCACTTTGTCTTAGTAAAGGGACCAGACAGGACCGCCCTTGGTTACAGAGCAGCTGGCCCAAGGCCTGTGTCCTGTCCTCCCTGGCCAGCCCGCCTCTGCCTTTCCTTTAATCTGGAGCATTTCTCCCCGAGTACGAGACCCCTGACCTTCCACAGAGACCACTGCCCTGCCCCAGTGACCGGGGAAGCCTGGCCACACTTGGCTAGTGCAGGAAGCAGCTGGGATGAGGCTGTCCCTGTCGCTAGACCCTCTGGTCCCCAGGGCCCTGGTTCCCGCCTCTGTGTCCTCCCTTCCCCACCACCACCCCACCTGGGTAGGGCTTTCTCTCCATTTGGAAGACCCAAACAGATGGGTGGGTTATTTTCAATGGGAACCTGTACCGCAACAAAAGGTTATTCCTTTACAAAGATACTTTTTAAAGTCTAAATTTGCAAGTAACTAGGATGGGAGCACAAAACAGCCCACTCTCAGAGGCCCAGCAAAGTCAGCTCCTTCACAGCCACAGCACGTGTCCTCAGTGTCCCCAAAGGCTGGGGCACAGGCTTGGTGTGGCTGGGCAGTGGAGGTGCCTTCTGCAGCAGGACAGTGGGTGGTCACTGGGTTGTGCCCCTGCAGGGTGGGGACCCCGCCCCTTCTCACCCTCTCCTTGCTCCCGCTGTCCCACTCCCCACAGAGGGAAGCTCTGCGACCAGAAGACAAAGCCCCTCGCCGGCCACAGGATGGAAGCCGCAGGACGGGAGTCCCTACCACCTCTAAAGGGAAGGGCCAGAACATTTCATCTTGTACCCATGAAAATAAGGATGCGCTGTGACAGTGAAACTTAGAGCCTTGGTTCACCAAACTGAATATGTAGCAGTAATATTCAAACAACAAACACTCAAATAATAAATATTTAGTGCCTTAAAACTATTTACCAAGCTGCTTACAAAACTGTTAGAAAATACATCAGTGTACAAAGAAGGCACCCCCTGAAGCGGCAGACAGCAGGAGAGCCAACAGGCAGGCGCTTATGCCAGAGCTCGCTCTCCCCAGCTCGGGGAGAGCCAACAGCTAAGCGACTTAAACGCTGCCTACAGGCTTCCCCACCTCAGCCTCCAGTACGCTGTTCTGTGACATCGCTTGAGGAGCAGGAAGCTCTGCATCAAGCCCTGGCCACCTAGCAACTCCCCATTCTCTCAGTCAGGACGCCTGTGTCTCTTCAGATTTAACAGTATCAGAATGCGCTGTCTGTCTTCTGTCTGAAGTACCCTCTCCGAAGTACTTGTAACAGGAAGGAACGAATTCAGTTACAGAAACTGTCAGGGGAAATAGGCCCGGCGCAGGGCCCAACCACCACGTGAACCCAAGAGGCCAGAACACAGTGACGGAGGCTGGGCTTGCTGAGGAGGCGACTCCGGGACTACAGGGCAACTGTAGCGAGCGCAGGGGCCTTCAAGGGGGCCCAAGGCCTGGGGACACGGCCCAGTGGCGCAGCACCTGCGTGGCCAGAGCGAGGCCCAGAGCTCGACTCCTGGCACCACAACCCAAAACCAAACAAAACCAAAGTGTGAGCACACTCGAGGCTGCTGGACGGCAGGGCCGAGCGTGCACCACACACAAGTCACTCCTAAGATTTTCTTTTTTTTAAATTCAACTTTCTTTTAAAAAATTATTTTTATTTTTTTAAATTTTATTTATTTGTGGGGGGGCGCAGCTCAGCCCACCAGGGGGTGGGGCTGGCTGGCATGTGGTGCTCGGGGATTGAACCGCGGTCCCTGTGCTTTGCTAAGCTTGTTCTAAGTAGGTGCTTTAGACCACTGAGCCATCTCATCAGCCCCTAAATTATTTTTATTTATTTATTTATTTTTACTTTGTGTGTGTGTGTGGCCAGCTCAGCCCACCAGGGGGTGGGGCTGGCTGGCATGTGGTGCTGGGGGATTGAACCGCGGTCCCTGTGTTTTGCTTAGCTTAGCTTGTTCTAAGTAGGTGTTTTAGACCACTGAGCCATCTCACCAGCCCTACTCCTAAGATTTTAGATTAAAAAAACTACACAACTGGGCCTCTAGAAAAGGACAGTGGGAAGTGCGCCCAGGCTGCGACACTGTCCCCGTGCCCCCCAAACCCCGGCAGACCACAGGTGCTGCCCGGGACCAGCGCCAGGGTGCCCCACCACGACTTCAGGCTTTATGACCAAGCTGGAATCCAGGCTGGAACAAGCAAGGAGGGCAGGCTTTCACACTGACAATGTTTTATGGCTTTTGGGGACAGGGTCTCGCTGCATAGCCAGGCTGGCCTGGACTCTGCGATCTTCTTGCTTCAGCCTCCCAAGTGCTGTGTGCCATCACACCTGGGAAAAGGTGATTTTAAAGTGTTACTGTAACAAAATACCACATCACTTAAAACTAACATTATTAAACACCAGAAAGGCTAAGTGTGTTGGGTTTCACCATGAAACATGAAAAGGTGAGAAAGAAGTTGTCATTTCATGCTGACCTTCCGTTTCCTGGACTTGCCCTCAGCAACTTGGGTCTGGGCTCTCCAAAGTGACATGAAGACGCTGCCCACTTCCTGGGGCAGGTGATTTCCTGGAAGAGGAAACATGCGGGGTGCCCTGGGGAGCAGGGGGCTGCACTGCAACAGCAGGGAGGGTGGCTGGCAGGCAGGAGTGGCCGGCAGCTGCACAGCGGCTCCGCTGCATGCAAAGGCTCCTTCCTACTGCAGGCTGTGCGCCCCGGGCTCCAGTCCAGCTCTGCTGCAAGCACACGCTGACCTACCAGCCAAGGCGGCCACCAGGAGTAAGGAGGAGCTATAGACGGGAACTGCCCCGAGGCTGTGCACGTGAGGGGGGCTCAGCCTCAGGCTGTCAGAGGTCAGACAGGAGTCACCGAGTCCTGAGGGCCCAGGAGGGACAGGCAGAAGGGAAAGCAGAGGAGGCACCAGGACACTGCCTCAGCCCGCCCTGCACACGCTCAGCACCTGTAGGCCCCGAGGCCTTCGCAGTACAGAAAACTAAGTAAGCAAGTGAAATTGTGGCTTTTCTTCTCAATGTCTTAAAACCAAAAACCAAACAAAAGGGGGTTAAAAAACGGAGAAATGAGGAGCATGAAGCTATCTGTTTATCCACCCGTGGCACGCAGATCCTGCAGAGCAGAACTGAACGCAGCGCTGTGCCCGGAGGACGACAGAGCCAGAGCCGGGGAGACCCAGCCTCAGCACAGGCTGCCCCGCGGCTGTCACTGTGGAGGGCGCCGGCCCGGGACCGCGCTGCTAGGACCGCGCAGGGATGAAGTACTGCAGGGAGACGTCCTCGTAGAGCAGATGGAGGTGCAGCATCCTGCCGGCCACAAGACCTGGGGAGACACCGGCATCCTCCAAGCACTTCACGTGCCCTGCTCGCGCCCAGGCCACCCTGTCCCCAGAAGGAAGCAGCAGGCCTCGATGGAGACCCAGAAGGTGGCATCCTCCCGGGGCAGCTGCGGGCGTATGAGAAGCACCCTGCACCCAGGCACCCTGCAGGGCACTTCCCCTCTCTTGGTCTCCCTTCAGAGGGGCCCTCCGCGGTGCAGAGGCTGCAGGCAGCACACACCACACGGCGCTTCCCCCAGCTGCCCCCGGGGCAGCCCCCGGCCTGCCCAGGGCGCGCGAGTGACGACGAGGGCTCGGGGCTCGGCCTGGGTGGGGCTGCCATGTCAGGCTAGAGGTGCCAAAGGGTCCAGGGAGGAAAAATAAAACAGGCGACACTCACTGCACAAGGCCTTTGTGGGGTTCACCTGCTGCCCAGCGAGGAGCTGCAGGAGCTTCCGGATGTCCACGCACACCTCGGCCATCTCTGCCGGGTCTCTGTCCCACGGAGTGTCACCAGAGGCTAGGGCGACACAAGTGGTTCACGTGTGACAGCTTGGGATAGCAGGGAAACTGGAAATGCAGAGTGCGTGCTCACGAAAACAAACCGCTCTCCCCACCAGTGGTGTGAGCATGCTGGACGGACACTGCAGCCCGTGGCCGCACCTGCGCGCAGCACTCAGGTCCTAGGGCGGCAACACGTGCCTACCACTGCCCAAAACACCACAGCGCCCCACAGGGCCTTCGGTGCAGGCGGGGAACAGGACCGGTGCGCTCCTGGAGGTCCGGAGGAGCGCATGTGCACTACGCAGCCAGCTAGGGCGCGGCACGACCCGAGAGCAGCAGGAATGGAGGAAAATCGCCCTTCTGCTCTTGGAAAGTAAGAACAACGGACTGACTCGGAACCAAGTCACATGGGGGGCAGAGCTGTGACCACGGACACAGCAGCCTGGCTGTCTGTCTGGGAACTCAGGGATCACAAAGGAGACAACAGCGCTAGCAGCTACTTCTACTGCGGCCCGCGCCTCCGCCCTGCGCCCTCTGCGCATCTGGCTCCCCAAGCTCTTCTATCATGCTGCCTCCTTCACTGCTGGACGAGCTGACTCCACGTCTCCCATGGGGACGGGAAGTGTGGCACACCTTCAGAACCTGACTTCAGAAGCATTGGTGTGACCGCAGGAGGACAGCGTGGGCAGGAACCTGCTGACTGTCCAAGTCAAGAAATTCATCTTTCAGGAGGGCATGGCTGGAGGCTAGGTGAGGCCTCAGAGGTCACACGGGGGCCCCTGGCCTGCTCCTCGGCCCCTTCCCAGGGGCAGCTGTGGTGCCGCATGCACAATCTCCAACAAACAACTCATCAAAAGCAAAACACAGCCCAAAGAAAACTCACCTAACGGAGGATTTCCAAGATCTCTGAAGTGCGTTGTAACGCACACTAGTTCAGTTTCTATTTTCAAGTTGAGGTCTCCACTTAGGTTTGCTTCCATAACCTGCAGGAGTATTAGAAAATAAACGAGGGCTGGTGAGATGGCTCAGTGGTCTAAAGCACCTACTTAGTACAAGCTAAGCTAAGCAAAGCACAGGGACCGCGGTTCAATCCCCCAGCGCCACATGCCAGCCAGCCCCACCCCCTGGTGGGCTGAGCTGGCCACACACACACACACACACACACACACACACACACACACACACGCAATAAATAAATAAATAAATAAATAAATAAATAAATAAATAAATGAAAATAAACGCAAACTAGAAGACCCACTCGCCCTGCTTCTGCAGGAGGCCCGGCCCTGTCACAGCTGCACAGAGGCATTCGTTTAAAAGCTGCACTGTGATGCTGGAGGTGCTGTCCGGCACTGGGAAGCCTGTGTCCCCTTCCCTCCCTCCTCCAAGCCCATGGGTGCTGGTACTGTCCCTGCAGCTCCTGGGATGTCACAGGGTCACAGGGCCTCCTTCCCTGCCCCGGCCTGCCTGCCCGCCAAAGCGAGGTGAGCACAGAGGACTGCAGCCCGCCCAGCTCCAGTGCCGCCCACGGCCCAAGCCCGGCTGCTTCACCAGCCCACGTCGCTTTGCCGCCAGCACTGTCACCCAGTAACAAGAATGACCCCTAAGCCGGCCAGGGGCACCTGCTGCTGCAGCGCCACCCCGGGCCCACACCCGAAGCCTCTCCTCAGGAATGCCACTTGCTGTCCCAGCCTTGCTCCCGAAACAAAACAAGAACTTTTTTTTGAACTTGAGCAAGTTATTTCTAAGTTTTTTTTTTTTGGTACTGAGGATTAAACTTGGGACCTTGTGCATATCAGACAGGCACTTGTGCCGCCGAGCTATCTCCCAGGCCCTATTTCTGAGCTTCTAACATTAGAGAGACACCCCCAAACTCACTTACCATATAATCTAGTAAACTTCCCCCTGAATAAAAAGCATTCAAAGTGGATTTTCTTCCTTTCATGAAATGAGAAACAGTGACATTTCCTAACCTATAATTCCTGACTGCAATCAAATACACAAAGCGACCGTGGGGAGACTCTGGGCCACTCTGTCAGGCTCTGGAGGGATGACCCACCACCCAGAACTACTGGTTTCAAGCAACCAAGTGCCCAAGATCTGAGAATTCCTACTCTTTGGGAAATAATTTATTTTCGTTATTTATTTAGACTTAATTCACTTTCCTTTTCTTGTGTAAAAACCCTTTATGTTGTAGCTACTGCCGGAGCGTGAGTCCTCTGGACAGAGACTCTGGTGTGGGTTTTCACAAGATGGTCGCTGAATCCGATAGGGAGACTTGGTGAGCACAGTCTCTTTCCAGAGGTCAGGGGTCAGATAGCTGGAGGTCTTAGAGATGGCATCAAAGGTGGCCTTAGTGAAGTTGCCCAAAGTAGCAGCCCAAAGCCCCTAGCAGAGGTGTAGCAGTCAGCAATACCAGCCAGCAGCAGCTTGGGCACAGGGGCTGAGACAGTGCCAGTGCCTCTGGGGGCAGGGATCAGACGTACCAGCACAGAGCCACAGCGCCTGTCACCTTGCAAGGAACCGTGTGGGGCTTGCGGATCTTGTTTCCCCAGTAGCCTCTCCTCACGGGGACAATGGAGAGCTTGGCCAGGATAATGGCCCCACGAATGGCAGTGGCTACTTCCTTGGAACACTTTACACCCAGGCCGACATGACCGTTGTAGTCCCCAGTGGTGACAAATGCCTTGAACCTGGTCCGCTGGCCAGCATGAGTCTGCTTCTGCACAGGCATGATCTTCAGAACTTCATCCTTGAGGGATGTGCTCAGGAAAGTCAATAATCTTGGGCTCCTTGATGGGTGAGGAAAAAAGGTAAATTTCCTCCAGGGACTTGATCTTCACGTTTTGACCAGCCGGCCCAGCTGGGTGACAGGAATCCATTCTTTGTCCTCGGCCTTACTGCAAAGAGCCCCATGGCCTGGGCCCGGCCACTGCCAAAGCCTCCACGGAAGCCTACAAGCCACTGTGGCCTCCCAGGCCTGGGCCCCTGGGGCCTCCCGGCCCTCCCGCTGCACTGGTGTCATCCGCCATTTGGTGTTTCCCAAAAAAGACGCAGAAATAATTTATTCAGTGGCTTCAGTCGTAAATATTTATGCAAAGCAACCTACAACGGTTCTAGGCTCTCTTTTGCTCGCTTCCTGAAATCCGCATGATGGAACCTTACGAGTCCAAGTCACCTCAGGCCCCACACTTGGCCCCATCAACACTTCGTGCTGGCGTGGGGGAGTCGCTGGCTGAGAACCACCACGGTGCCGCTGTCAGGACAGTTAGCTGGCTGTGGTGCCACCGACACGCTGAGCTTCTTAAGTTCCCACCTGCTTACTGCTCCCCTAACGGTCTCTACCTGCTGCTCGCTGAATGCCCAGCAGGCATTCTCTCTCAATTCGGAAGGACACAGCCCACACTGTGTCCCCAGCACCCAGCTAGGGTAAAACACCCCCCACCAGGTTCACAGAAGCAAGTGCGGAGCTCCAACACCCACTCTTCCTCCACGCCCTGGCGCCTCTGTAGTTTCCTTTTGGCAGAAGGAGGGGTTTTTGTTTTGTTTTGTTTTGGCAGCTCAGGATGCCTTCAGGGCAGGTCTGGTTTGCCTTGAGGATGAGGGGATCAAACCACAGCATCAGGAGCCTGACCGCTTTGTTTCAGCAGGCACTTAAAACACCTGAGCTAACGGGCAGGCCCCCTGTAGTTCTGTTTTGGTCACTACACCACAACAGTGTCCTATCACGGGTCATGAATCCGTGGCACTGCTACCGGACCAGACCCAGGCAGACACAGCTGGGCTCATCTGGGAGCTTAGCAAACAAAGGCCTGGGCCCAACCCAGGCTCCTGAGGTGCAACCCACTTCCCCACACCCACTAGGGCTGGCAGGCACCCCTCGGGCCTCACGGCTGTTTGCTCAGGGCTCTGCAGGGCTCACACACGCACCGATTCCTGTGTCAGGCTACACTGCATACAGCAGGGGAAGGAGCAGCAGGGTTGGGGGTGTACGGACAGCGTGCTGGGGCCCGGCTCCCATCTGTTCTGCAGCCGCTGGCTTCAGACACAGAACCTGGGCCTCGGGGGCTCTCGTAGGGCACCCTGCTCTCTCACCAGCATGCTCATCTTCCACTCAGCCAAGCCACAGGTTTCTGGGCATTTGAGAAATACTGCAGAGAAAACGGCTCCAGGGCTGACTCATTTCCCAGAACTGAAGTACAAACAAGAGGCTGTTTCGGCTAATTGGTGGCCAAATCCCCTGGGCCACTCTGTGCCTCCTGAAGTCTCTGGTGCCCAGAGGAAGTGGCCCAACAGTGACTGATATGAAGCCACTGTCAGCGCTGGGCACCCCACTGGTGGGGGCCACATCTCAGACCCAAGACCAGAAAGCCAGGCGCCAGCTGGGCTCTGAAACGAGCAGAACTACAGGAAAAAGGGGTCCAAATAACTTCTGTGATTTAAAAAATCCCTTGAAGCTAAATTTCACTCCCTATTCACACGATGACCCTGATACCACCTACTGAGTAGTAGCCCTGCTGGAGAGCTGGGACAGAAAGGAAGAGGAGGTCCCCCTGCTGCTGCTGGGAGCTGGACGCAGGGCTTCCTGGGATGGCAGGGAGGGCTCTGGTGGCCAGGATCATGGCCCAGGGCTGTCAAGGGGTGACTGGGGAGGACCTGACACCAGACAGCTAAGAGTAGGCCAAGGCGCTTCTGGGTGGCAGGGACACAGCCCATGCACCCTGCAGGGAGGGCCTCGCAGGCAGAGACGCAGCCCACCAAGCCAGGATGGACAACGGCTTGTGCTCCCTGGGGCGCAGAGAGCTCTCACTCGGGGACAGAATCCATGTGCTTTGGGGTATGAGGGAGGGACGAATTCAGGACAAGCTCAGGTATGAGTGAGGACAACCACCCGATCCCCAGCACTGCCGTGCACAGTGGGGCTGTGGCAGGAGGAGACACAAATTGAACACTGATAGGACAGTGCCAGGAACTCAGTGAAAGCAGATGGGAACAGACGGCTGTGGGTCCCTGTCCTGGGCTATGGGAACAGCACAGGACCCTGCAGACCCACTGCCCACCGAGGCAAGAGGCAGGAGAGGCACTGGCCTTAGCAGGGGCGGAGGGGGCCTGGGTAGGCCCCGGCTTGGTGGGCGGGGCGGCCTCGTCCAACTCCAGCACCAAGGAAAAGAGGACAAAAAGACTCCTCGGTTCAAAATGCAAGGTCAAGATGCCATGTGTTCCACAGAAGTGCAGACCTCCCGCGGAGGGGGAGCTATAAGGGTCCCAGGAGCACCGCGGTAGTGTCCCCTGTCCCTGCGAGCTCCCACCCTCAGGGCACTCCTCCTCCCCCGGGCCCTGACTTACAAGGTGATTGCTGATGTTCTTCATTTTCTCCACAACACTCTTCATCGTCTTCAGGGCTGGCAAATAAATGCTCACCTGAGGGACCAATTACAGAAATGGGCAGAGTAAGGAGGGCTGATGCGCCGGCGCCACGGGGGCCGCAGCACGCAGGACCACACATGCACGAGGACTGATGCACTCGGTGAAGCCCACAGAAGGATGTGAGAAGGAAGCTGGTCTTATCCTCTCAGGAGGTTGCAGACTTCCAAGCTGCATGAAGGAGTGAATGCAACACCGCCTCTGCCTATCCTGGTGGCCATATCCCTTGGGCTTCGGCCTGGGACATGGAGAAGGGCCCACAGAGAAGGCCCACGGGGAGCAAACCCGGACCAGCAAGAGGCCTCCTTGCAGGCACTCCTACACCCGGGGGCCTTCTCTGTGCCAAGCACAGCGGGAGCTGCTGCCGGTCACCAGAGCCTGTGCTACTCACAGCGCGTCACAAGATGCAGGCCCCTCCCACCTGCCGTGCAATTGAAACAGCGTTAATTTACATTTTAAAAATCACTGTAGCTACAAAACACTGCCATGAAAGCCTCTCAAAATGCTCTCCCTGGGCTGGTGAGATGGCTCAGTGGTCTAAAGCACCTACTTAGAACAAGCTTAGCTAAAGCACAGCGACCGCGGTTCAATCCCCCAGCACCATATGCCAGCCAGCCCGCCCCCTGGTGGGCTGAGCTGGCCACACATACACATACACATAAATAAAATTAAAAAAAAAAAAAAAAAAAAAAAAAATGCTCTCCCTGGCTTGTAGCACACCTGCCCCGCTGTTCTGGCCACTTCCTGAAGCAGGCCTGGAGCCTTCCTTGCATTTGTTTTCTGAGGCAGGGTTTTGCTATGTCGCCCCACTGGCCTTGAATCTGTGGTGATCCTCCTGCCTCAGCCTCAAGAGCTGGTATTACAGGCGTGAGTACACCACCAAACCGGGCCTGGAAATCCCTTTCCTGAGTGTCTCTGGCTGTCTCGATGTCCTCAACTAATTTAAAATGTTTTCCTTTTATAGTCATTTTGACTTTGGGGAAGAGGTGAAAGTCACACTGTGGTGACATATCCAGTACACAAGATGGACAAGAACACAGTGCTGTTTGTTAGAGTCCATCTTTCTACTGGATGGTGCTTGGCAGCAGCATTCACCATATTTGTGATCATACCCTGTAAAGACCCTCAGGAAAGGGGACTTCAGAGCGGCTTCGGCAAGGATGAGCCAGGACAACGGGATGAGGGTGCTGAAGCAAGGGGGAGGGCGTTTTGAGGGGGACTCTTTTGCGGGGGACTCGTTCCAATTTAATGTGATAAATTTTACACAAATATTCACTGTATTTCTCAATGCCCCCACAGATGTCTTCTAATGGCTATCAAGTACATATTTTATCCAGTAACATTTAGTTTCTTCTTACGTAAATTCTGAGCAAGAGCCAGAGGGCTCCGTGGCACCTCTCATTTTCAGTGGCTGGGGGCTCTTCTCAGTAGGCGTTGACCCGGCTTGGTCACACGATGCCTCCTGTGGCTGTGACACACTTCTACATGTGTGGTGCTGTGTGGCCCAACCTGGTGCCACACACCGAGTCACACGCACGACTGACACCAGTGTTCCTTCAGTTTTGCTTTGTCCAAGAGCTGATTCTGAGCAAGACATTTCCTCTCCTGCACGTACAGAACGTGGCATTTCTACTATGTGCATCAGTTTTAAAAGCTGACATAAATAACAAAAGGAAAACATTCTAATCGCTTTTCCTTGAGTATCCGTTAGAAATGTGTACTGCCTTCTTGGCAGGCAGGCCTTCCACGGCTTCCAAATAAAACATACTGCAAGGTGAGAAGAAACCTTAGAGGACTGAAACCTGCCCTTCAAGTGTGTGAATCGCAGGCTGGCGAGTGTCACTCACATCAGCATCTGGGACTGAGGGCTCCTGTAAGTCCTTCCAGAGTCTTCGAGGAATGACCTTGATGGGGATATCATGGGTCACGATGCGACTACTGCTTGACACAGACAGCTGCCGAGAAAAGGAATGTGAGTATTTTATGTACTCAGAATTAAAAGCAAAGATAAAACCAAAAGAACTAAGGATAAAAAAGTTGAGACCTCAAGTCTAAATAGCATCTTAATTCATTCACCCAAATCTACTCAGCAAGTATTTTTTTTTTTTCATTTGAGTGAGAGAGAGAGAGAGAGAGAGAGAGAAAGAGAGAGAGAGGTGTGTGTGTGTGTGTGGCCAGCTCAGCCCACCAGGGGGCGGGGCTGGCTGGCATGTGGTGCTGGGGGATCGAACCGCGGTCCCTGATGCTTTGCCAAGCTTGTTCTAAGTAGGTGCTTCAGACCACTGAGCCATCTCTCCAGCCCTCTACTCAGCAAGTATGAACAGGGCATCGGCTCTGAGCTCTGTGGGCTGATAATGCGTGGTGGGTCAGACCAAAGTCCCTAGCGTTCCAGGGGACAAAGGGACTGGCGAGGAAACGATCACACACAATGCATGCGACACGCAAGAAAGCCTGGACAAAGCATGGCAGGGACCAGGCTGAGCGTAGGAATGGTCCCCAGACTGGGAGGTCAGCGGAAGCCTGAGGCAGGGGACACTGCACATGCTACCAAAAAAGAGGCAGTCTGCCAGCGACAGGGTGTGTGTGTGTGTGTGTGTGTGTGTGTGTAGCCAGGACATGGAAGGAAGGAGGCTGACTTGCTGCTGCAGCAACCCTGAAGCTATTCTTTGGACAAAGATGCCTGGTGTATGGCAGTCCCTACACTGGAAGAATAAACTATGCTTATCTATTTCGAGGTGCTTCTATGAGACCCACAGACCAAAGTCTTGGTCCTTTTACACAGAAAAGTACATGGTAACTACTTTTCCTTTCCTTAAGAAAGTGAGGACTCCAGATTCACACTGTGACACTGGAAATGAACGAGCCCAGCTGCAGAACTATCGCTACCCCTCAGAGGCCAAGACTTGTAGGAACCTTCAGAAGCCCTGTTCCTCCTACTCACCAGCTCCACAGACACTGTAAGGCAGGGGAAGTTCTTATTCGTCAGCTTGATTTTCAAGGTCCTGGCATTCTGGGCGGTCTTCAAAGCTCGAGATAAGTTTTCTGACGCTAGTTCTACATAAATCACATTGTTCTCCGCAGACACACCCTCCATCTGAAATTCACTGAAGAAGTTCTCCTAGGGGAAGGAGAGAAGGGCTCGCTGGCCTTCCCGCGGCTCGGGCTTGGGCTCGGGCTTGGGCTCGGGCTTGGGGCAGTCCGAGGCCCGGGGCTGGCTCACCTGCTCGAGCTCACTCCACATGCTCACGCCCCCACTGGCCAGCCTGTCGCACAGGATGAAGTTGAGCTTCTCCGGGCTGATGCGCAGGGTGCAGGTTTTGGCCAGCCTGGCTATCATATTACTGACTCCTGGGGCGGGGAACAGGGAAGGCGTCGCTGAAGGCCCCGGCGAGCATCCCGGGGGTCATCTCGACTCCTAGAACCTGCACTCCACGGCTGCAGAAGACGGCTGCCGCGGGGATCCCGCGGGGAACGCTGCAACCCCGAGGGCCGGGCCATTCTCCCGCCGACGCACAGGCGTGTGGCACCCGGCACCCGTGCCCAACGGGGAAACTGAGGCTCGGGGCGAACTGGCTCCTAAGGCGGGCTTTCACACACTCCACACCCACTCCGGCGCCCCCGCGAGCGCTCAAGGACCGCCAGGCACCGCCCGCGCGGAGGCGGGAGGAGGCGCCCGGGTCGGCCCACGCGGGCCGTGACGCGCACCTGGGGCCCCGCCTCCGTCCGCGGGCCGCGACACCCAGGGGTCCCCGGCCCCGCAGGCTGCGGCCGCAGCTCCCGGCCCCCTTCCGGTCCCCCCGCTCCCGCCGGCGAGCCCGCTCACGCGTGAAATGGTTCAGACACGCCGCGTCCACGATCTTGGCGCGAAACTTCATGGCGGCGCGGGCGCCCGGCGCGCGTCTATCCCGGGCCGACTCGGGTCCGTCGGCGAGCGTCCGGCCGGAAACGCGGCGGGGAGCCCGGAGGTTCCGCCCCCCACCGGCGCTGGGCGCTGCAGGCCGCGCGCGAACGCTCCCGGTGGACGGGGCGCGGCCCCGGGTCCCTCCCGCTCCTCCCCACCCGGTGTGGGCGCCGGGCTTGCGCAGGAGGTCGGTGTTCAGAGCATTCACCTGAAAAATGCACCTACTCAAGTTCTGGTTTTGCTGTCTTTCATTTTTTCTTTTCCTCTACCCCGCCCCCCCCCCCCCCGGCCTCCTTTTCATACTAAGGATTGAACTGGGTAGCAGCACCCCAAGTCCTTTTTACTTTTTCATTCCGAGCTGGAGTCTCTGTAAGTCTCCGGTTTCAGCCTCCTGCCTCAGTTTCTCATCCCAGAGTGCTGGGATGACAGGAGTGTGCAATCGTGCCCTGTTTTAAAAATACCAGCAGAACCTATCTTTCATTAGAAAATCAGTGTATAAAGATCCAATGAGGGGCTGGAGAGATGGCTCATTGGTCTAAAGCACCTACTTGAAACAAGCTTGGCAAAGCACAGGGACCGCGGTTCGATCCTCCAGCACCACATGCCAGCCAGCCCCGCCCCCTGGTGGGCTGAGCTGGCCACACACACACACACACACAATAAATAAATGTAATAAATAAAAATAAATATTAAAAAAAAAGATCCAATGAAGTATCGCTTAGATATACTTCTTTAAAGTGAACTAGCACTACACCAGCTGCACCCTGATAATAACAGTACTAGTACCTTGAAGTTTCATTAAGGATCTGAACAGTGTTTTAAATTTTGAACATGTTACTGGTCAGTTGTTAAAGACAAAGGGCTTGGAGAAAGCTCTATCTTCCGTGTGCTACTCTCTCTCAGTATGAACTTCACCAGATTTGGTAAAATTCTTAGCAGCTTGCAGTAACAAGTGCCACAGGCTGGGCGGCGTCAGGCACAGAAGTGTATTTTCTCCTAATTCTGGAGTTGGACGTTAGCCTGGTCTGCTTCTTCTGACAGCTCTCCCGGAACCCTCATTCAGCAGCCCCACCGACATGTCTGTCTGTGTTCTTTAAAAAAGAACAAGCAGGCCAGCAGGGTAGTGGTTTAGGACCCACGCTATTAGCTGCACTTCAATCACTGTGAAAACCCCATCTCCTAATGTCACATTCTGAGGGGCTGGGGTTATGGCTTCAAGAGGTGACCTTGGGAGGGACGCAGCTCAGCTCCTAACAATGGAAAGGAAGTGTGAGTGGGAGCCATCAGGTGTCACTGTTTATGCCCAGGAAACGAAATAAAGGGGTAAGAGCCCCTTGCCTTCTTAGAATCCTAAGTCAGCTTACCATAACTAAGTTCGTGGCCAAACTTAACTCCGTCAACTGCTCCGTGGTGGAAGGTAGTGGAAGTTACTGAACTTCTTAGTGTTGAATAAAACAGCAATAGAAAATGTGCAGAAGGCTCATGGTTGCCTAGCACTGTCCTATTATTTATGTATCTCCTGGAGACAGTGTCTCAGTATGCAGTTCAGCTAGCCTTGGACTTGCAGCCGTCCTCCTGACTCAGCCTTCCGAGTGCGGGGATTACAGGTGTGCTCCACTACACCCGGCAACATACAGCGTTTTCAGACTGACTACTTTCAGTTAGAAATATGAATTTAATGTTCTTTTATAAAAAAAGTCTTGCTAGTTCACTTCCTTTTAGTATGGATATTTCATTGTCTGAGTGCTGTTCATCCACCTGTGGGGGGACATCATTTGCCTCCACATTCTGGCAACTTAAGAGTACAAGTTCTGTGACCATTTGTGTTGGAAGTTGCTGTGTGGGCTTGAATCTTCCTCTCATGGAAGTCCCAAGGAGTGCAGTAGGTAGACGTCTTGGAGAACGGCATGGAGCTTTGTTAAGAAGCTGCAAAGATGTCTTACAAAGCGGTGTGCCCTTCTCATTTCTGCCAACAATGAATGGAAGCTCCTGTTACCCCACATTCCTGCCAGCAGTTGGTATATGTGTTTTGGATTTTAGTCATCTAAGAGATTTGTGGATGTATCTTTTCTTGTTAAGTTGCAAATCCCTTATTATATGCAATGTTGGGCATCCATTCATGTGCTTATTGGCAGTCTGTGTAGTTTTTGTAAGATGTCCAGATCTTTTTGTGTGTATTTTTTAGTGGGGTTGTTTTCTCATCATGAGTACTGCTATTTATATATTGGATATAAATCCATTATCAGATGTTTTGCATATTTTAGCCCAATTTATAGATTTTTTTCAGTACTTGGGCCTCATGCATTTTAAAGATCACTTTTCTTAAGATATTGAGTTGTGTAAGTTAGAAGCCATTAAAGCTAATAGAGGTTCTTATAAAATTGAAAATAAAGCTATCACAAGATGTGTGTATTCCCATGTTTATGCATCTGTCCTCCCAATAGCTGAGATGCAGAATCACCCTAAGTGTCTGTCGACAGAATAGCTTAAAAACCTGTGGTGTACGCATATACAAGACTGAGACGCACTGGAGCAGGTATTGAGCTTTGTAGCTCCGTCTGGCACGTGGGCCACAGGTAGTGAGTTCCAAAGGGCTTGGTCGGCCCCAGCCCTGCGCCCTCACATGTACTGCCTCTCTCGTGCTGGCTTTGTGATCCGTGGCTTTCTTCTGCAGACGTTCCACATTCCTGGCATCTCTGACTTATTGGGCGCTTCCCTTCACCTTGAGCTTCATCCTCACAACTTTACACACTGCCCTCCCAGCGGTTCATTATGTTCCTTCCACAGGCCTTCCTTTGAAATCTAAACAGAAGCCTCCTTGACCCCCCAACTCTTATATTCTTCATGCTCACCAAAGCAGCATCCTATGGACAATGCCAGGGTCTGCTGCTGGTGGGAATGGTAGCCATGCCCCCTCGGATCATGGCTGCAGCGGCCTGAGTGCTGAATGGCTGAGCATGGTGAAATGCTTCCTGGGGAATAATTCATTAGAAAGGCCTTCTCAAGTGGGTATCCCATCGATGCTCTTCCCAAATGAAACACTGATAGTTTTATACCCTTGAGCCTGCAATGGGTGCGTCTTGCTGATTCCTGAGATGCTCTCAGGGCATCTTTCTGGTCCCTGTACAAAATACCTGGGTTTCTTTCTAATGGGGCTAATCACTTCAGCAGGTCACAACTTCTTTGGCTCCAACTTTGCACTGTTCCTTGTGGAACCCAAACTACATTTTTCTGGGCTGGGGAATATAGCTCAGTGGTAGGGTGCCTGCCTGGCAAGGGCAAGGTCCTGAGTTTGATTCCCTTGAAAAAAACAAACAAAAAACCCCCAAAACCAAACTACATTTTTCTGCTCTGCATTTTACTCCCAATTCTCATTACAATCTTGCTAAATGTATCCCCTACTAGGCCATTCTGTTTAAAGCATTCTAAGGTTTCTCTAGCTTGTATCTCTAAATCTTCCAAAGTTGGTTCTGCAGACCAGTCCCAAAGGCCTCTAAACCACGTGGCCAAGAGCAGTCACAGCAAGGACACCACTCCTGGCACTGATTTTGTTTTAGCATTTTTATTACTGAGACACAACACCCAACACGCAGTGAGATAGCTTGGGGGACTAAGCTTCTGCTTAGGCAAGCGCAGGGATTGGGTTCGATTCCCTGCATCACATGCCACGCTGGCCCCACCAGTCGGCCCTGAGCCAGTCACGGAGACCCAGCCCAGCATGGTGGCCCTGTGGATGCCTGTAATCCCAGCACTGGGGAGGCTGAGACAGGAGGACCACTACGAGTCCGAGCTGCGCAGTGAGACCCTGTACCAAATACAGAGACAGAGAGACAGAGAGGTTTAATTTGCTCATGGTTTCAGCACACTATCAGCTAGCTGCAAGGCAGAGACACCATGAGAGATGAGCCTGGCAAAGCAAACCGCTTAGCTCACGATGGCCAGGGCGCAGCCCAGGGAACAGCACTGAGAGGAACAGACTACGGGCCATACCTAGTACCCAACAGCGCGACGTCCATGCAGCCACATCCAGATGATGGGCTCTATTCCTGCCAGCGGATGGCCACGGCTGGAGTAGAGATGATTCCGAATTACGTCGGTGGCCACACAATCCTGTCGTTTATCAGTCTCTTTGCGACCAACAGCATTATATACATACAAAGAGCAAGTACAGCCGGGCGTGGGGCACATGCCTGTAATTCCACTACTCTGGTGGCTGAGACAGGAGGCTAGCCATGAGCCCGAGGCCAGCCTGGGCTCCACAGAAAATTTAAGGCCAGCCTAACTGCACCGCGAGACCGTGTCTTAAAAGGGGCGGGGGCGGCCAGCACAGCACCGAGGCACACGACCCACGCTGGGCCGCAGGACCCGGAAACTTCACCAGACGTGAACAGCGTGAGATCAGAGCGAAGAGGTGCAAGGGGCCGTCCGGAGACTGAAGCAAAAGGGGCACCTCACGGGCACCTCACTAACACCTACCCGGGAAGCGACTTAGCGGTCCTCCCACGAAGAGCCAGACCCGGCGTCTCCTGCGCCTGCGCACTGACGTCTTCTCGAAAAGGACCAATAGGATGGGAAAGTGGGCGTACGCATGACGTATCCGCAAAAAGAGCCAATGGGACGGAGGAGTGGGCGGGCCGCAGGAGAGCCGGCTTCCGGTTCCGGTGGGTCTTTGTCCGCGGCGGTGCTACGTGTCTGTGTCCCCTCGGTTCCGCGGGCGGGCGGGTAAGGGTCGGCGTGCTGGGGCCCAGGGCGAGCCGGCGGGCACGGGGCTTGCAGGGCGCCTGGCGCGGCCCGGCCTCTGTGGCTCGTGGGGCCAGCAGCCGCGGCCAGCCGG